CTCTCTCTCTCTCTCTAGAACAGGCTGGCCTCGAACTCTGAGATCCATGTGCTTCTGCCTCTGCTTCTGCCTCCTAAATGCTGGGATTAAAGATGTGTGCCACCACTGCCAGGATAAACATCTACTTTTTAGACAAAACAACTCATCGTGAGAAAGATATCCTCTTTAAATTTAAAACTAATTCAGTATGTTCTCATAAATTCTCTTAGTACTTTGAAATTAAAATTTAAAATATCAAATCTACCATTTCTTCAGGAATAAAATAGCCCACAAGTGTATTATGGCATACAATTAAAAGGTTTGGGACAGGATGGGAGAAAAAAATCATAAAACTTTCAGTACTTTTACATACACAATTTTTGAAACACTAAGAATATGAAGCTGATGATAAGCATTAAACATATTACAAAATAGCAAGATTTCTTTCAACTTTTAAAATATGCTGGGAAAGGGAACTCAGGATGATTTTTCTTCTATGCAGTTTGCTGTCAGAATAAGGGCCAGTGATAACAGAAATAATGGTTTTTGCTACACACATACATGAAAACACTCTGGTCAATAAGCAATTTCAATTAATCAATAATGATAAAAACAACCATTATAAGTAATTTGCATTTTGATAACAAAACCAGACCATCTTCAAATATCAAGACTTTCTTAGGCACAATTCTAAATGACTGGGTATCTAAAAACAGAGCTCTATTTTAGCCAGACAAAAGCAAGGGGTCCTTGGTAAGAATCATGTAAGGAGCCTCAGTGTGATGCCTGACAGAAGCCAGTGCTGACCAAGTCACGGATTACCCGGTGCTCTGCAATTGACAGGCAGCTTTTCACTAACTGCTCTGTAGACTGGACCACCTCTGCCAGCAACCTCCAACCTGCAACCAAGCAGGGCACATGAGCACCGGCGCACGCATGCATGCACATGCATACACACGCGCGTGCGCGCGCGCGCGCACACACACACACACACACACAGCCCCAAGCTCTGAGAGAAGTGTGGGGGAAAAAAAAGAACTAATAAAAGAAGTCAAATGAACTCTCCACACATGTCCACACTACAGCTGGGGGTGGCAGGGCCACACTGCAATTTCAACATAAAACAACACCCAGGTGGTCAATTGTAGCCTCGAGAAAACAGCCTATCCTTGAGAAAAAAGAAATCCTTGATTTGGAAACTTAAGTTTACTACACGAAAGAAAAAGAAGAGAAAAAAAGTTTCAGAGCTGAAGGTACCAAAACAGAACCAAAAAATCGAGTTCGTTTACAGGGTAGGCCAAAGCCAAACTATGTTCAGTCCAGAGAACTCCCCTCACAGACACCCCCCCACCCCAGCTGTAGCAATAATAACTTTTAAGTTTCCATAAGACCCCATGGTTTCTATTCTAGAGTGACACCTAAGGACATCACATAAATCTAAACAGTATCAGAACAAATCAGTCATTGCTCCTTAAACTGCAGGTAGACCTTACTTCACAAGGCGCCCAGCCCTCCAGTTCCTTCCTCCCAATTTTGAATGCTCTGCACCGCCTGTCAGCCGAGGTCGCCTCCGTGGCTTGAGTTTCTGAGTCGGTTTTAACCGGACAAGTGACCAACTAAAGAGGGGTAAAGTCCTACAATTGAGGGCAGGGGACTGCTCCTGAAGCCTGCCTAGTCCTGCCCCTCTCCCTGACAGTTTGCTGTCTGCTCTCTACTTACTACCTTCCTGCCGGAGCTGTCCAGAGAGGGAGACTGAGAACCCAAAGGAGTCCGGGAGAAAAGGTGGGGGTAATAAATGCACAAGTATCAACCCCCACGGCTCTTTGGTAGGGTACCGGATTTTTAAAAAAAGAAAAAAAAGGAGGGGAGGCCGATGGACACAGACTTTGCAATAGAAACAGCACCTGAATTTACCTCCTCCCTTTCCCACCCCCGAAAGCCCAGTCACTAACTAATAAAGCTAAGAAAAATCCCTTGAAAACTTTTCCAAACCGGAAGAGAAGGCTTCTCCCCGGGCCCCGGAGCTCTTGGGGAATGGGCTGGAGTTGGCAGCCCCGTCGGGGATCGCGGGGAGTGGGGTGGGGCGCGGGCGAGGGGTGCAGGGGCGGAGTACCTTGAACGGACAGGAACTGGCAAAGAGTTTCGAGCCAGCCGAGTGCTCTCCCCCACGCCCTCGGGGGTCCCGGGCGCTAGGACCGGGGCTCCCCAGAGAGAAGGCAACCCCCAATTCGGGCCTAAAAGGAAACTTTCCGGGCCGCGGCTGCACCTGACTCCTCGCCGCCCCTCCACCCCACTCCCGCCAGGCCGCCCGCCCCGCCCCGGCCAGGCCGCCCGGAGCGCCGCGGAGCGGGGGATAAATAAACCCAACAGTTACCGGAATCCGGGGGCCCCGTCAGCGCGATGCCCGGGGACGGGGTGCTGCCGCACAGTCCCCACTCTAAGGCCCCGCCGCCCCGGTCCCCGCCGCCCGGCCTTCCGTCCCGCGGGAGAGCCTGGGGCCGGCGCAGGATGCAACCCGCCCGCCCGCCCCGAGGCCCCGGGGGACCCCAGGGGCGCGGGAGGCCTGTGGCGCGGGGGCAGGGCGCGGCCGCCGCGGGGCCCGAGGCCTAGGGCGCCCCCCTTCCGCAGCACTCCCGGGGCCAGGCCCGCGCAGGCCGCGCTGCTCGCCGCGCTCAGTCCGCAGCCGGAACCCCCGCCGTCGCTGCCCGCGGGCGTCCCCGAGGCCCCCGGTGCCCCATCCCCCGCCACCCCAGCGCCAGCCCCACTCACCCTTTCATTCTCCGCCCGCGGCCTGGCGTGGGCCGGCGAATCCCCGGCCTCACGTAAGCGCGCTCGCCGCCCGCCCTGCCTGCGCGGCCCAGCCCGCCGCCCTACGGGAGCCCGGGGATGTGGGCCGGGCCTGGGGCCGCCTCTGCTTACCTTTCAGCTGCTTTTTTTTTTTTTTTTTATTTTTTTTTTCTTCCTCCTTCCCCCCCCACCCCCCCAACTAGGCTGACAGATCAGAGAGGCGCTGGCAGTGGACTTAGGAAGCTCGACTGATACTGCTCCCTCCCTGGGCTTCAGCAAGAGTCTTTCCCTGTCTAACAAGAGGGGTGAGGATCATATTTTTATTTTGGAAACTAAAAAGTGCTCCCAGGGTCGGTGATCATTAAGGGGAAATCCCTGAATATACTCTCCAGCCAAGAAGGCAGGGCTGCCCGCCTGCACTAGAAGAGGCAGCTGCCTCCTACAGCACCACTACAGGCACCGCGAGGACATAACACCACAGAGCAGTTCTCTGCCCTCCGAAACGACAACTTTCCTACCATCTTGGAGGCAGAGGAGAGAGGGGCCAAGGGGAGAAGTGCACCGGCTCCGGATAAAGTACAAATTTCTACCTCTCATCTCTGGAAAAAGTCCATACCTGAGGAAAAGCAATGAAGAAATAGAAGCGAGGTCATGTGCTCCGTGGTGGGGAATGTTTCTGCACCTTCTGATGGAAAGAAATCTTTACAAGACACAGGTTTTACGATATTATTGTTTTCCATGTTAACTTTTTCCATGAGGTTGACAGTCGCAACCTTAATTTTTTTTTTCAGGCTAGTAATGATTTTTCTCTATGACGGGTCCAAGTTCTGTATCTGGTGGCCAGTCTGTAAATTGGCACTTCAGAGACTTAGAGGTCACTGTATTGTCTTTTAGTGCTCGTTTATGTTGTATGTATTCGTACTTATGTTCTAATGTGTTAGAGTTAAGATTTTGTGGTTTTGGTATCTGAGGAACTGAGGCTGCTGCGAATCAATTGTAAAGAGATGGCCTTTGTCCTTTCCCAAAGCAATGTAAGTAAAACCTATTGACTGCCCAGAAAGGCAAAAAATACAGCTGTTTATTTTTCACGGTGCAAATAGAAGTATTGTGTATTTAAACTCTCAGTAGAGCACAGCAAGCCTGTTTATCTATCAGCCCAAGAAGAAAGATGACTCCTGTAAACCTAGCAACAGATTGAAAGATGCCTTGGATTTTCAAGTAAAATTATTTACTAAGAATTATATCTAGAATTCCATGTCTGTTATCTTCTTTTAGTTGGCATAGATTATTTTATCTTCAGGTCTTTGGTGCATTGCATATATTGCTGCCTGCTTCTTGGGACACAGAATTGGGGGTGGGAAGGAGGTTTCCCTAGTGTTGAAATGTTAAGAACTAACAGTGTGGTGTCAGCCTGTTGAGCCTTTATACATTACAAGGATGTCATGGATTTACTTTCTCTAAAAAATGATTTTTTATTTTATGTACATTGGTGTTTTGCCTGCATGTATGCCCGTGTGAGGGTGTTGGATCTCCTGGAAATGGAGTTAACAGTTGTGAACTGTCATGTGCGTGCTGAGACTTGAAGTTGGGTCCTCTGGAAGAGCAGCCAATGCTCTTAATCACTGAACCACTTGTCTAGTCCCAGAATCCCCTCCTTTAAAAAAAAATGGACAAACTTTAGCACTTAAACAGGATGAAAGTGAAACTGCACTGGGCACAGGAGGCAGCCAGGTACTGCTGCAGACTGACAGTACTCTGGTGGAACTGCAGTGGGGAATCACTGGTAGAGGTGTTAGAAGTGGGGAATGGCCAGGCTTTTTTTATGCTGCAAGAGAATGAGGAATTTTCACTTAAAATTCATTGCAAAGCATTTTAGGAGTAATTGGTGTTTAAAATGCCTATTTCTGAGTTAAAACTTTAAGATGAATTCAGATACTATTTGTCCAAGGAACTTTATCATCTAAATTTGAATATAAAACCTTCTGTGAGGTTCTCCTCCTTCATCGATGAGAAAAACTATAGGCATTAAAATTAACTAGTTCCTCTCATCTCGGAAACCTTACTTGTGAGGTTGTGTGATATTTACATTTTGCTTGTTGGTCTGTATAACCGAAGCTGGCCCTGGACTCAATTTGTAGTTTGGGCTAGCATGGAATCAGCCTTCTCCTGCCTCTCAAGTGCCAGCATTAGTCACACCACACCACCCAGCCCAGTATTTGTTCATAATTTGGACATAAAGCACAGTGGTTACAACAAGAAAGTGAGTGTCCATTACAGAGCACTAGTGGACCCAAAAAGCATGTTGGCCGGCAACATGTTTTCCTTATGTGTACCTTAGCTTTTTATACCCAGTGATCTCTGCCTTTCAAGAGCTGAAGCTGCTTTAAATTAATACTTTTTAGTGGTGTTTTGTTTTGTTTTGTTTTGTTGGAGGGCATGGGATGTGAGACAGGGTTTCTTTATGTAGCCCTGGCTGTCCTGCCACTTACTCTGTAGACCAGGCTGGCCTTAAATTCACAATGATCCCCTTGCTTCTACCTCCTGGGTGCTGGAATTAAAGGAATATACCACTATGTTCCCCCCCCCTTTTTTTTTTTTTTTTTTTTTTTTTTTGAGGAAGTGTCCAGGCTGGCCTTGAATTCCCTGTGTGGCCCAAAGTTGTCTTGAATTGATAATCCTTCTGCCATAGCCTCTGAAGTGTTATAATTATATGCACCATGACATCTTGTTGGATTTACCTTTTGCTACTAGTGGTTTTAGTATTGTAAAAATGAAGTACTTCATTGCTAATATTGTAGTGAAGCTATTAAGAAAATGACAACTATATTCCATCCTCAAAAGGTCTCTTTTAAACAGTGATATATATGTATGGAAATGTAATAATACCCATTATTTTGTATGATTGCTAAAAAATTAATTTTAAAAAATCTTATTTAGACATTGTAGATTTAAAATAAAAGATTCATGTGTTATTAATGTATTAGAATTTGTAAAAAAGCCATTCTTGACATATAGTTGCTGAGAAAATCACCAATTTCTTTTCTTTAAAGAAAGAAAGAAAGAAACCACTTACAATAGAAATTGTTATTTGGGTTTACTAAGATTTATTTTTATTTTTCGGGAGCTTGTTTTGGGGGTTGTTTGTGTTGTTTTCTTCTTGAGATGGGGTCTTAAGTACCCTAGGCTAGCCTCAACCTATATTTAGCTGAACCTTCTGTCTTTGAAGTACTAGGATCATGGATATATAGCACCATTGCTCTCTCTTCTTCTGGACACACAGGTTGACCAGATGTCTGGTCTGGACTCCCCCCATCACCCTCCCAATATGAGGTACTGTATCCAGCATATTTGAACACTTCTAAAACCAGACTCCATACCAAACAGACCATGGTAGCTAATGCCTGTGCTCTCAGTAGTAAGTAGGAGCTGGGGCAGGAGGATGGACAGTTCCAGAGACCTTGGTTGAATAGATGAATCGGAATCATCAAGCACAGAGTTGCAGTTACTGCACAGACTGAGCAGCAAAAGTGCCAAGCCCCCGTACTGGCTGCCGTGGTGTACCACAGAGACCTGGAATCCATACAAAGTTTAGGGTCTGTGTGGCAATCTCCCCACCATGACTACAGTTGAGGGGTTGTGCCTATCAATATCCACTGCACCCAGCTAGGCACCCAACCCCAAAATCCTTGAGGTTGATGTGTGCCCAAGGTCTACATGAACATGACTATAGATGCTTTCACTCTAAGCCTTTCTGTTTTAGAAACGGCCATTGATAGTGTTTCTACCTAAAACAAAGATTTGGGTTTTATTGTGGTTACTGAGTCTTGCAAGAAACTGTTTCTTAGGTAAACACTGAATAGAACAGACATGTGATAGCTTTAGATTATTTCAGTGTGAAATTTCTGTAAAAACAAAAATTTACAAGTTTAAAGTAGGCAAGGTGACACACATCTTTAATCCCAGCAACTGGGTAGGTAGAAGCTGATGGATCTCTTTAAGGCCAGCCTGGTCTATATACAGGAGTACTTAGTGAAACCATCACTCTAGATAGCGGGGTAGGTAGGTAGGTAGATACATAGATAGATCTCTGATTGTCAAAATACAGATAATCTGGATTCTAACACTTTTCCAGGACCACTCAGACCTGAAAACTGTTACCTGATCTTATGCTAAATAAGAAAGGAGTCTGAGAGTTGCTGAGAGGGTTGCTGGTTTATTTGTCTTAAGTCTCCTCAAAGCTCAGCAGGTGCCTTCCAGAACAGGTGGTCAGTGGCTGTGCTGAGAGCAGCCCTTCTCAAGCTACAGAGAATGTGACCGTGTCACACTGGGGGACATTATTTCTCCTGATGTTAAGAAAATAACTCTCCACCAGAAGTCACATCTTAAGTGATCATTAGGTGTTTTTGTTTGGTTTGGTTGGTTTGTTTTTATTAAAGCTTCAAAGCAAGATTAAAGATTGAATTGAGATAGAATTAGCAATGATAGTCAATCTTTTCTGTAATTTATAACGAGAAAAAAAAGTGTCCCCAAAGTAACGGTTAGTTAAATATTGTAGTAAGGAGAGAAATCCATTGAGACCTCAAGATAATAAGCAGGGGTTAGCAGAAAGGTGACACTGTTCATTTCTGTGACATTTCTGGCTAAACAAGCTTTTGTAGACCCGCTGGGAATGTAACCACTATTTCCATGGGAAAATAAATTCCAGGTTCCAGACAAGTAATTTAGAGTTGTTGTGGAACACAGCCACTAATAAGTGTAGACTTGTGTGCTCCAGAGTACCCATCATGCCATTCCGATAGATGGCCAGAGTTCAGCAGTAAGGGTAAATCCACTCCTGCGGATAAAATGAAGATTAACTATGATCATAGCTCAGAGAAGACTGGAAGACAGAAACAATTGTAGTACAGAAGAAAGGGAAACTTCAGTGGCTCAAACTAGACCATTCACCTTTGTTCTGTATGCAGTGCAGCTCCTAGGTGTCACATGATATTATAGATATTTGTGTTTTGTTTCATTCTGTTTTGTTTTGCTCTAATAAGAGAGACAAGGTTGCAGACTAGCCTGGAAGTAACTCTGTAAACCAGACTGCCCTGGAAACTGTGGCAATCCTTCAGTCCCAGACACCCAAGTGTTATGATTACAGGCATTCATTAGCCATCGTGTCTGGCTTTTTTAAAACTTAAAACCAGAAGAAGGAACAGCGCAGTGCCTTGGCAGAGAAAGACACTTGCTACACAACCCTGGGTTCAATCCCTGGCCCCCACATAAAGGTGGTAGGAGAGACCTGATTCCACAAACCTGTCCTCTGACCTTCACACGTACACCTTGGCTGGCACCCATGCCTCCTACACAGCCATGCAATGACGAATAATTCTCCTCTAATCAGAATAAGAAAGTGAGACAAGAGCAGGTAAAATGCCCCTAAGTTTTACTCAGCCTTCCATTTGCCTGGTCCTCTACTGCCCCTTGTTGTACCTTCATCTCTGTCTTAAGATGGCAGGGCAGAGCGTTACCCAGCATACCCAAGGCTTAGAGTTTGATCCCCAGCACTACCTTAAAAAAAGACATTAGCATAATGTGTCTGGGTGTGCTTCTGGACTGGGTCAGAAAAAAGTGAAGTGAAACACTGCTATTGTGTTGTTAAGGGTGAAATGTGTGGCATCGACACACATGAGATAGACAGACAGACAGATGATAGACAGGTACGTAGGTAGATGATGGATGAGATAGATAGATAGATAGATAGATAGATAGATAGATAGATAGATAGACAGATGATCACCATTTTTGACTTAGATTTAAATCCAAGGAATTGAAAAACTTAAGATTACTGGCTTAAATTTAACCCTCCCCTCTGTGCATGACAAACACTCCCATACACACATAGACAGACAGCAGACACACACACACTGCATGTAGTTTTAAGCTACCACCTTTGCTCTGGGATGGCTGTGATACCAGCCCCAACCTGGCTCCCCAACCTGGCTTCTCTTGAATCCTGGGACAAAACACACACACACAGACACAGTTTGTTCCTTTACAACTTGCTGGGCACTGATATCTCCCACCTGGAAAAGTGTGCTGTTACCAATTTATTATTTTCCGTCTCTCCACCTGCCCTAAACTTCAGTGACTAGTCCCACCTAGCCCCTGTCAAACATCCCTGACCAACTGCCTATAGTAGTGGCCAAAGGCCCCAGCTCCCCCTGAGACCTCACATGGTTGCTGTGTTCTCCCTCCAAAGCATGGC